TATTATTAATAATACAATTAGTTATTTTTATATGAATTTATGAATTAAACTTAGTGCTTAATTTTATTACATGTACTATCATATGACTTTTATTTATTTATTTATAATACTCACGTTATATTTATTTTTGTTTCTCTTAATGCAATCATATTGCTTTTCAAGTTGACTATTTTTCTTTAACTTATTCTAAAGAAACTATAAATTCTTAAAATTTGTTTAATTCTTAAAATTCATTTTATCTGTCATAATTTTTGTATGTGTATATATGTACATGTGTTTTTGCATGATAATTTATGTGTAAACGTCTTTCTGTGATATTTTAACTGTGATAGTCGGTTGAAGAGCTCTACAGAGCTCATGTTTATTGTTATGTATGTATACAATGCCGACTTTAAATAAAATTTACTTACTTACTTACTTACGCTCCTTCGTGTCCTTCTGACCACGTTTATCGAATATAGGGTAAGTGATTTGTATACAATACTTTTCAACTTTTGCTACAAATGTTGCCCTATTCTCGGCACTCAGGGTCATTGAGCAGTGAGGGATCTTCTTCCTGGCAACATTTTCTGCTTCACGGGATCCCTGTTTTATACTTTATATAGGTCTCCACGTCCCACAGTGGGATTCAACTCCTTACTTCGTGACTCTAGGGCAGGCGCTTTGACCACTGAGCCAGGCGCTTTAACCACTGGGCCACGGAAGCGACATAAAAATTAAACATATCTAGGCCCGTTTAAGGCTGTCTACTTTCTCCCACCCTCTTTAACATCTTCCTTGAAAGGATTATGGAGGATGCTCTAGATGACCATAAAGGCACAGTCTCCATCGGAGGAAGAACCGTCACAAATCTGCGATTCGCTGATGATATTGATGGCCTTGCAGGGAAAGAGACAGAGCTAACTAGCTTAGTAAACCGCCTTGACCAAGCAGCTTCTGCATATGGTATGGAGATAAGTGCCGAAAAAACAAAGTTGATGACCAATAACATCCAAGGCATCACCTCCAAAGTCAAGGTCAGCGGAACATGTCTCGAGACAGTGAAGTCATTCAAGTACCTCGGATCCATCATATCAGACGAAGGCTCCAAACCAGAAATAATAGCAAGGATTGCACAAACAACCACGGCATTAACGAGATTACAAACCATCTGGAGAGACAGGAACATCACTCTTCGCTCAAAGATCCAGTTAATGCGTTCCCTTGCTATGTCGGTCTTCCTTTATGCCTGTGAGACCTGGACACTTACGGCTGAGCTAGAAAAGAGGATTACGAGCACGGAGATGAGATGCTATAGGAAGATACTCGGCATCAATTACAGGGACCATGTGACCAATGCAGAGGTCTGCAGGACAGTCACAGAAGCCATAGGACCTCATGATGACCTTCTCACTATCGTCAAAAAGCGGAAACTAAGATGGTACGGCCACGTTTCACGCTCAAGCGGCCTTGCAAAGACCATCCTGCAAGGCACAGTGAAAGGAGGACGAAAACGGGGAAGGCAAACGAAGAGGTGGGATGATAACGTATCCGAGTGGACTGGACTGAGCCTCGCTGAAACCTTAAGAGCGGCAGAAAACAGAAATTTATGGATGAAAGTGGTGGATAGGTCTTCCAAGGTGCCCCAACGACATCCACGGAAGTCAAGGGATAGGTGAAGGTGAAGGTGAAGGTGAAGGCCCGTTTAAAAAGTTTAATTTATGTAATTGAAAAAATAACGAGTTTCGTTTCAATGATATATTGTTTACTTGATATGAATTTTTTTTTTCTCGTAAATTTCAATCGTCAAATTTACATACTTATTATGAACTTGGTTTAACTTAAATTTTTGTAAACCTGATACAAACTTTGCCATGCACAGTGATACGTTGATTGAAATGTTTGTTAGGGGTTATATGTATATTTCAATGTAATGAAAATTCGATATTTGATCGGCTAGATCTGCAATCGAAAAGGTTATTTAAGTACAGTAGTGTACACTTGTTTTTACGTCAAGTATGTACCGTGTTTCCTTTGTTGTTTATCAAAAGAACGATATATTGGAATCTACCGATACTAAGCTAATGTCACCCTGGTCATTACACTATTTAAAAACTAGAGGTACTGTGAGCGATGAGCTCACTAAATGATACCCCCCGCCTCCCATATGGTTATAACTGGTGAAAAAGTCCATGTTTTCCTGTGACAGGGAAACCCAAAATATGTGTCGGATCAAAAAGTAAAATAGGAGGTGCACAATGGCAATATGTAATAAAGATTCTGTGAAAGTTGCATCAAATTTCATTCAGTGGTATGAGAGGAGTTGCGGATAAGATATGGGTACCCCAAAGCGTAACAGACAGACGGACGGAATTAACGATTACTATATACCCTCCCGCTTTTCAAGCGGGGGGTATAAAAATGTTTAAAAAATCAAGCGATTTCTGAAGGGTTTTTTTCTTCACTTTTAAATAAAGTATTAATTAAAGTCTTGTGTTAAAGTCCGTTTTTTACTGTTATTTATCACAAAACGCCGTATACAATTTAAAATTTTTACTCCTTTTTACTCTCCTTTTGGTATAACAAGCCCGTATGTTTGTTTCATTTAAAAACCGTGCATGATCGTTTTAAAAATAATTCTTTTTGTCCTGACTCGTTGGGCGGAGTATTAGAAAAGTGTGGGTTATGTACAGAAAACCCATACTTTTAACAAAAGAAATCACACCTAACTATGGTACAATATTGTCTTATTCGAAGGACAGTTGGATTCGAACCCGCGACATAAGGATTGACTAGCTCCTTATTTCGCGACTCGAGAGCAGACGCTCTAACCAGTGCGCCTCGCGGGCGATGCAAGAGCATCAACGAAAGTTGGAAACGTGGGATAATCTGCCTTATAAAATGGGACGGGACTGTTGACGGGATATGCATTATACGATTTATTTTTTTTTTTTCATTTTATTTTACATATTTTACAGTCATGTATTTTATGTTATCATACACATAGTATCTTTTTTAAAGAAAAAACGGGACAAGATCGAAAACTTTCCTTTAAATAGATTATTTGTGTGGAGAAAAAGGGATTCAACATATATTTTTATGAAATCAACTGTACATAAAAACAATGTATGAAGAAGGGAAAGGTGACTTCTTATGAGCCTGTGAATTTTTTGGCATAGCTCTACAGGATTCAAGAATTTGAAACTATAGACCGTCCAAACCGTAACATATAGATGTTGAACTTGCATCCAAACCAGAACACTCCCATCATCCAAACCGTACTATATTTGTTATGGGTACATAAAATAAAACGGTTTTTAAATACATTTCTTGTATGGGACATAAATTACACTTTTAATATCTTAAATGTAAAATGATTTTTCTTTCTTTTGGCTGCTTCAGATTTTAAATATATTTGATATTATTTTAACAATCACGAATTAAAACTTGCTAAAGGGGTATGAATGTCAATTGCATCGATAAAAAGTGCATCAACGAGTTATTTAATGAACTCTCTTCATAACATGCAGCTCAAATTACTTTTAACTTACTTTTTCATGTTATTTGGGCATAAAAAGATTATGAAAGTGACATTTTTAAGAAGCATACCTTCCAACAATAACTTTCCGAAGTTTAAAATATGGCAATTAACAAAAGAAATTGCATATGTCTCTAGGTAATACTACGGTATGTACGTATGATAGCCGTGTTGCACCTGAAAGAAAAACTTGTCAAAATCCCATTGTGATGTAAAATACGCATCCCTTTCTCACAGAAATTTATTTTAGGAAAAAAGTGCGTATTGTACTCCCCTAATTACGGTACTATTGCGTTAAAATGCGTGACTGCGGTGAAGGGGGTTAAATCATACTCTCCTATCCGATTATGTTTACAGTTTTGCTTTATATTAAAGGAAAAAATTGTTCATATAGCTGGAAATTATTTTAATCCAAAGTTCAAGTGTTATTAGTATTACGTCTTTATCAAAAAACTTCATCGAAAACAACATGAGTCCATATAATATATGCAGGAAATAAAATTGATAACTTGAGTTATATTTGGTTAGTAGAAAATTGAAGATTATTCATTGAGGAAGTTTAAGCAGAGCAATAGGATCGACAAGTTAAGAGTTCTCAGTTTTGTTAAGTGGTCTTAAAATTCACATCAGCCTATAAACTGTAAATACATCTACAATATTATTTTCACTGGTCAAATTAAAGTTGTAGATGTCTGAGTTTGCAAATATTCACCCTTTGATCCCCCCATACATATGGAGAGGAAGCTTCTTGTCTACCCACACTTTGCACCTCAGCTTACAGGAATTTTATCCAAGGGGGTGGGGGTGGTCCAATCCAGTCAACAAAAAAAAATCCAACTCAGAAATTTGTTGACATTTAAGAAAAAAAACCTTTCCAAAACGTGAAATTCCTATTTGGTTTGAACATATTTTATTGTTAAGATGTTACAACAAAAGGATTGGACACAAGTACTTAATACTTAGAACGTCCTCTCCTTTGTATTTCCTTTTCCTATTTCGTGGGAGGGGTGTAGTGGTTAACTTAATTTTGACTTCTAATGCTTTGTCACTTCTTACTTGGTTTAACGGCAGATTCCAGACCCCCCTATAGATCTGGGCATGGGTTAAATCTGTGCTTTCACAGTTAGCCTGTAGACACAGAAGCAGAAAGGAAATACACTGTAGCTTCAGTTTCTACTGGCCTGTATATCGTGCGTTGCAAGTCAGTAAATAGAAAAAAAAAGACTTTTTTATTTTCCAAAGTTTCACGGATATTGAAGGAGGGGGGGGGGCAGATCCGCCACTGTAATCACACTAGATCTGATTGTTAAGTTGTGATCTTGAAGCAAATTGACCTTTCTATTGGGTTTATTTTTGACTTAGGAGAATAAATGTCACAGATGTGATTAAAAAAAAAAATTCACAATATTGACTCTTACATTTAGTGCATCTAAAAATAGCTAGTCAAACAAGTATTGTGTCACGTGACTATATAAACAAAAAAAGCAGCGATGGCTACGAAAATATGTTGACGGATGAATGAACCTCGGAAATCATGATAAAACGTTGGCATTTTCTGAATTCTGATTAAGAAGCAGCGAAACACAGAACAAGGACAAATATCAGAGAAAGGTAGGACTTTAAAATATCATACTGCAAGTTTATCCGATTTTGCAAGTATTGTTTTTTCTGCATGCATTGCGCAATGTAGTCACGCCCGAATTTTCTCGAAGTAAATAGACCGCGATCATTTTGTAATACTGAACTCTAAACTGAGCTAAATCGTAACAAGATACAAAGGGATTCTATCTTAATAATATATAAGACTGTTTATTGCGAAACATTGCAATTTATCAGTGAGAGAAATTTTAATATTAATAATAAGTATACCAAATAATAAGTATACCATGCGCAAGCATTGTGGCATGTAGAAAAATGTTTAAGATTAAACAAACTATCAAGAACCACTCATTCATATGAGAGACGGATTGTTAAACCCTTTGAGAAGAAAAACTTAATCTAACTGTGAAGGTATGACAAATTAGACATATCTGTTATTTTTTGTTTATGCTATAGATTTGATTGACATCCATCCATCACCCTGAGCATTAAGCCGGTATAGCCCTAGCCTTGACCGGCCACCCATCACCCTGACCCGAGTTAGCCCTGACCTTGACATGGACAACATCCAGGGGTCGTACCGGACCACGCTCAGCGTGACCGGCCCGGAGGATGAAGATGAGAAGAAAGCAAACGGCGTCGAGATGAAGAACCTCCTGGACGATGAAGAGGAGCCGCAGGTCGTCCCCAGTGGAATGAAACGCAGCGATACCGCAGACCTCCTAAATCTAACATTACATCAGGTAGGTGTCGGTGAGATAAAGTATAGAAATACAGTGGACCTCCTCAATCTCACAATACATCAGGTAAATGAGATATATTATAAATAAAAATTCTACTGTAATTTAAAGACACCAATATTTAAAAAAATGATTTTACTGTTTTATACAGCACCCTGTTATAATATCATACAAATTTTATAAAGCATGATAAGGGTTATAGAGATACAGCTGACCTCTTAAACGTCACATTACAACGGGTAAGTGTAAGCAAGATAATGTACAGCCTACTCCGTATATATTGAAATACAGGGGACCATGCAAATTATTTCAATATATCTGAAATTCAATAAAAGCAAAATCGTCAAGCCGCCTTTTTTTAGTTCAATCCCAATCTAAAATAAAGAAGAACAAATCCAAACAAATAAATTTTGTCATCGTTTATCTATAACACTAAACAGATTACATAGAATATGAGTCATTAAAAGTTTAAATGAAATTATTTCTTTCTGTTCCTTGAAAAGACAATTTTCAACCTCATAATTATTCCCCAATTGCATTAATTTACATTTTTCATAAAATTCACAGGACTTATATCAAATGTTTGAGTACTGCTGAACATGCTGAATGCTGCTTGTATTTCATCATAAGTGTACGCAGGAATAAACCATTAGCTTTTTCAAATTTAGGCTAATGAATAGCTATAAACAGTGCATTTTTAAATTCAAAGTTAAGGGTCTTTTCTGATCACAATTTGTCCAATGTCTGTTATTGTCGTCGTTGTCACATTTTCAACTTCTTCTCAAGAACCACTGGGCCAATTTCAACCAAACTTGCCACAAAGCATCCTTGGGAGAAGGGGATTCAAGTTTGATCAAATGAAGGGGCACACCCTAATTTAAGGGGAGATAATTGGTAATGATTGAAAAATTTGTAGTATCTTTTAAAAATCTTCTTCTCAAGAACCACTGTGCCAGCAAACATGAAACTTATATGGAAGCATCCTCAGGTAGTGTAGATTCATTTTTGTTCAAATCATGACCCCAGGGGGTAGGACAGGGGCCAAAATGGCCACCCAAAGTTTAACATAGAAATATAAAGGGGAATTCTTTAAAAATCTTCTTCTGAAGAATAACAAGGCTATAATATTGATCATATTTATATGGAAGCATCCTCAGGTAAAGTAGATTCAAGTTTGTTAAAATCATGACCCCCGGGGTTAGGGCGGGGCCACAATGGCCAATCAAAATTTTACATCTAGACATATATAATAGGAAAATTCTTTAAAAATCATCTTATCAAGCATAGCAAAGCCATGATTGGTCATGGGACTACTTTTGGATATAAACTATTCAATATTTATCCATTTTCTACTTTTTCCCAGCCACAGTGCTCAGGTGAGCGATGTGGTCCGTGGGCCTCTTGTTTCTAGATCTGTGAGGGTTCCTATATTACATTTAGCCTCAACTTGTCCTTATGATCATGATGATATACGTAGGAACAAAGAATTTAACAGTGATTATATTGATTTTATTTTGTAAGAACATGCAGTATAAAAACATGTACCGTAACGGTGAAAAGTTAATTATTCAATCCTTTTTATATCAACTGGTCAGTTAGGGATAGTTTCTGTTGCTGACTGTAACAACAGCCACCAGGGAGTACTTCAATATAACCATTATGAAAACAACTCATTATCACCTGTGGGGACTAATTAGTGGCTTCAATAAAAGCGAAATTTGCCGGGGTCTCCTCCCCTTAAATCTGCATCATTAACGACTAAAAGTGAGAGGAACAGAAGGAAATAGAAGAAAAATCAGATAACACATGCTTTTGATTTTGTCCCTTCTAAGTTTACAGATAATCTTCCAAATAAATCTAAGAAATGTTAAGTAGTCTCAAGTGTATTTTGTCTCAAGATTTGTACATGTACAAATTACTATTACAAGTATGTGCGTTTTACCATTGACAAAGTGTACATAATTGTACAAAATGATAAAGGTAATACTACTAAAGTCAAATAAGTCTGTGTCAGGTCACCTTGATGGGCCAGGTCTCTAGTCATTATTTCACCATGTTAACCTGATAAGGGGTTATTTATTGGATATTGTTTACTATTCATGGAAAGAAAAATTATCTAATTCCAAACCATGATTTGAAGAGGAAAGTTTGATAGGTACCTAAATGAAATATTCTCAAAATAATTTCAAACTTCGCTTGTTCTTCAGTGTTGGAGGTAATAATGTTATATAGTTTTCTGTTTATAATTTTTTATGTTGTTTCTCTAGTGTGCCCGTAATGGAGACACGCGCAGTATGGAGATTCTGCTAAAGTCGATCACAGGAAACGTGAAGAAGAAAATCAACATGCGCGACGAAGAAGGCGTGACCGCCATGCATTACGCCGCTCGCTACAACCATCAAGAAATCGTCAAACTCCTACACAACTTTGGGGCAGGTGAGCTTTACATTCTCTAGCAACCAGTATGAAATAGTCCAACTTCTAACACAACTTTGGGGCAGGTAAATGGACCAGGTTTTCTATTACAGTAGTATACTTAAGACAAGATTATGAAGTACCGTATATCAGTTTTTTTCCGCGTCATGTTTTTTCCGCGAATCAGAACCTAAATCAGTATATCTAATTTACGCGAATCAAATTTTCACTATTTCAAAGTCCCAGTGATTTTATTATTAACAATTATTTAAGCCTATGAAGGAATTGGATGTAAAATGTAAAGTCATTAAGTTTGAGTTACTTCATACAGGTGAGAAATAGATCGATCGACGTTCACCTCGTCAATTTCGGAAGACCCGCTCAGCAGATTTACACACCCTGTGTTGCATACTAACTCTCAAATCCACGGATATTTTTTTTTTAAGATTTAAACAATAATAGTTCATGTACTGTTCCAAACTGACTAGCAGCTCAGGTTTAATTAGTTTTGATAGCTTCTCGCAAGGAATGTGACCCATATAATTAACTAGCTTGTCAATTACTAAACAAACAATAAGGGCTTCTACCTATTACCGGTATTTTGCGCTTGTCCTCTGGTCCCGCTATTTCTACTCTCTACGATATAAGCATTAAGAAATAACTCTACTACAGGAAGAAAACTTTGTATTAAATTTACGCTGTTTTATTTTCCGCGATTCAGAACTCGTTGCGAACAAAGCGGAAATTGGATTCACGCGGAAAAATCCTGATATACGGTATATGGCTTTCTATAAAAAAAATTTAAAAGATACCCTCTTCAGGACTATCTTGAAAAAAATTTCTGATTAATATTAAAGATGCATCGCTTCATTGATTATTCACTAGCAGGTTAGTTAGAAATGCTCCATTAGCTAAAGTCTTATGAGAAAATAATTTTTTGTATTTCGGCTTGTTACAGATATAAACTCGCTGGATGAGGAGGCGCTGACTCCATTACACTATGCGGCTCGTTACAAGAGAGAGAAACAGAGGAGAGGATCCGAGCTAGTCCTGGAGGATCGAGAGGTGGGGATCTAACATTTTTGTTACCTTATTACATCCAGCTATAGGTTAGATAAACATCATAAATGGAATGAAGATTAAATATCAGATATAAAGAACTCAAGAGGAAATCATGGTTATTTGAAAACATAATTTGAATCCAGCTGAAGGCTAAGTACTGTGTTAATTCTGATACAACTAATACAGAAGAAAAATATGAGCACTGGTTCAAATAACTTTCTTATAATCTAAACTTAGTCTATGGGAAAAAATGAAGATATAGCTAGCACATTCCAGGTAAAATATTAAAATAGCTAGAATACACATGGACCTAGTAAGTATTTTAGGTAAATTTAGGATAAATGCAGTTAAAAACAGGAGTTAAATTGTGTTTTAGGAGGAGCTAGGGGAGGTAACCCTATTGGAGGTATGGCCTCAGACATCAATAGTATATGCTATGTTTATTTTCATTGTGGTATATTTTGAGGGACAATATGTTCTATGCTCTTTTATCAGGACAGCATGTGTTCCAGTTTATCATTTTGGGATTTATCTTCATGTACAGGTCTCTGGAGAGCATGCATAATTGTAATTTATCGTAAACTCTTGCTCTATATATGGCTAATTTTTATTTTCTTTTGAATTCTTGAGAGCTACTTAACTGCATGAATATTTCTACATCTTGTACTTCAGAGATAAGACTTTTTCATACAGAATTTTGGGTATAAATCTCTAACTTCTTGCCTTTCCTTTTCCTCTTGCCCGTCTCATCGTTAACTTGTGAAACATTTTCTAGGGAAAGAAATCCAAGACAAAGTCAGCTGGAAAGCGTCGACCACCCTCGGCCATTTCGAGTCTAATCGTTAGTTACCCTGTGGATTTCACTGTTAGTTATCACGTGGAATTCACCAGCGTTATCAAATTTAATCATTCACTGTTAGTTTGGAATTCACCGTTTTCCAGTGTGGTTCCTATTCTTCCTGAATAAAATTACACTAATGTCTTTAATAAGACAGGTATACATCCAAACTAGGGTGTACTCGATTACAATCAAATGTGTTGCACTGTGATTACATTACACTTCTACATTACAGTTAACATGATACTTAGGTTTTTGTTACATTAATGACTTTGATGTTCCAATGTTACACATAATTTTTCAAACATAAAGTGACTTTGACACTTGCAGTGGTTTATACAAAGCCTCACGTCATGTTGTGAATTAACAAAATCAATTGAATTTCTGTCCATTGAAGGTGGCAGTAAACAAAGAAATAATTTTAAGCGAGTAAATTTGGAAAAAAAAATATTTTCTGAAGAATTGATAAGGCAGCTAGGACAACGAATGAAAACCCTCTTTACTTTTTGGATGATATCAGGTTTAAGTAATGACACTTGTAGTGAACTATAAAAAAAAATATATTTTTCTCTTCAAGCAATTGCAGCTATATTTTATGCATGTAGCATGGGTTTATTATGCAAATGCAGGCTTACTTTTATTCAAGAAGATGAAGAAAAAATGTTCATTTAAAATTTAAGAACACTCTTAGAATCTTACGTATGTTGCTTATGAATATGGAATTGATACAATACCAGGTTAAGTTAAATCTGTTGATTCTCTTTTTATTATAATAATTGTATATGCAATAGCCAGTAACGTAATCATGCTTAGGCACTGATAAAATTTAACACTGACAGAGATAATTTGATTGGTTCCTTCAGACGAATGCGATGCCTACCAGCCAATCAGAAGGGGACTTTGGTAAACAGGATGTTGTTGTCATATACCTGATAAAGAACGGAGCAGACATGAACCGAGGAGATAAGTATGGATTAACTCCCCTACATTACGCGGCCATGAGAGGAAATGAACTCGCCACAAAGGAACTACTGCAGTTTAATGGCATCAACATTGAGGTAAGGGCATATATAAGACCAGGAATTATGATTTAGTGAGGAAAGAATTTCGGTGATAACTCATCCCCAGGGACAAGTTTGAATTTCAAATCATAACCACTTGTACCCATGATGATTTTGTTCATCCCATTTATTAGACAAATAATTTTAATGAAACAGATCAAAGTACCTTTCAAATTTCTTAACAACATTAATACAATTTACAATGCAACAAATGAATAAACATATAATTAAAAGTACTATATGATATGATAATTAATTAAAATAGGCTGAAGACAAGCAGGGGATGACAGCGTTACATATGGCCGCCACTCATAACCACGTGGAGATAGCCAGGATGTTGATTAATGCGGGGGCCCAGCTGAGGTGTAAAGATAATGAGGACCTGACCCCCCTCCACTGCGCGGCATCTGAGGGTAACATCGAGATTGTACAGCTGCTGTTCCAGGCTGGAGCCAAACAGGACGGCTGGGTCACCATCTCTAACGTAAGGAAGTCATGGCTCTTTGTTTTTATGTGTTTAACACTTCAGCAAACTCTTTGTAGTCTCTTTCTTATTTTTGTCATTTGAATACATAGCAGCATATTTGATTTATGACTTTGGCAATCTAGAGTAGAGGAAAAAATCTTTATGCAGTTTTTTGGCAACAAATATTCACTATTTTATTATTCATGAAAAAAGTCGTGAAAGTACTTGTATGTCTTTGTTCAAAGAGTAGAAAGTTCAATATGTGTAAATATGATATCAAAATCGCAAGAAATACTTAACTTAGTTGTTTAAAGTAATTTCTTGCTTATACCTTGTATAATGATATCCTGATTGTGTCTCCAGATGGTGACAGACAGAGACTGCGATCAGAACACCTGTTTACATCTGGCGGTAGAGAACGGACATTATGACGTGGTCAAACTCTGTCTGGAGAAGCGGTCAGACGTCAACACCCCGAGTAGTAACTACATGTACCCCTTACATCTGGCAGCCAAGGCAGGGGATATAAGGTATTGTTTACCCCATAGTCATAAGTGATTAAGTGAACCCTTCCATCTAGCAGCTAAAAACAGAATATTAGGTAAAACTTGCACATGTGAGTTTTTTTTTGCCTTGTAAATTTTTTTATGACACTTGAATGAAAAAGAATTAACTTAAAAGATTTCATCTACAATCTTTGTTACTGCACAGGTGTGTGAAGTTGCTGGTCCGTAACCATGCCAGAATAGACGCTCTGAACGACGAGATGGCCACGCCCCTTCACATCGCCGCAGGCTTCAACCACAAAGACGTAGTAGAGTTCCTCATTGAAATGTAGGTCAACCTACGAAGGCTTAAACATCATCTCCCTGTAAATTTAAATGAGAAAATAAAAAAAAATTACCTCATTTTAAAATAAGAATATCTTTCAAAGGAGTATTAATGCATTGAAGAGGATTTCATTATTTTGTTCAAATGTTTTTGCTTATCAATTGTTTTACTAGTATAATGGAATATCAGTTAAATATCAAAGTGTAGTTTTCAGATGATTTTCATTATTTAAATATGTTTAATGCTGAGATGATTTAGTTAATTTATTTTAAAGTTAATAAGAGTATCAATACTTTCAGTACTATGATTTTACAATGTAAACAGAACAATGAAAGATAAGTATGACACATTGTCTTGTACAGGAAAGCTCCTATGGAGAAGCGAGACAGAGATAATTACACGCCGCTCCTGATGGCGGCGTACTCTGGTCACGCTGAGTCGCTGGACGCGCTGCTGAAGAAAGGCGCCGATTACGAGGCGGTGGATAAAAACGACAAAACCGCAGTGTATCTCGCTGCGGAGGAAGACAAACTGGAGGCACTCAAGGTGAAGGATTTCTTCTATGTGTTAAGCAGGGTGTGCTGTATTTTAAAGTGCTAAAAGGAGTACTGTAGATCACTATTTTCGCAAGATAATCATTTTCTCTTAATAAGCGAAACAAAATTTTCCCCTAATTGTGGTTATTGCTCTATATAATCCCAAGGAATACTATATTTGAGAATATTTTGCAAGCACACTGTCTCGTGTAAGTATGCAAAAATGAATTTCTCTCTTAGAGACTAATAAAAAGATATTTATAGTATTAATTTTGAAGAAAGTTAATGCCTCTTTAATCGGTAGAATTTTAATTTTTTTTTTGAACAAAAAAAGAAAAGAGAAAGTGAATGAAAAATGGATGCAATTTCAATCATCAGTCACATGTACAGCTCCCTGCAACTCCTTTCAAGTTAGGTCTGATCCCTGAAATTTTATGATGAAAGAGTGAATCCACAGTGGATCAGGCATACTCCCTTCAAGTCATGATTATACAATCACCAATTAATTAGACCCTTTTACTTGTCTTCTCTGTCATATCTGTGGTTTTCTGTTTCCAGACCATGTTGGCCTACCCTGACGTCAGGAGATTGGTGGATGTTGGAGATCGCTATGACAACCACCCTCTACACATCGCAGCTCAGGAAGGATACCTTGGTATTGTTAGGGTAGGTTTTATAAAGTACACTCTTCTTTTCATGATACCAAAAATGTCATGAAACATATTCATTTGACATATCAGATCCAGACCAAAAATCACAACATTGAACAATTAAACCGATGTAAAGAAACTTACAGGATATAGATACTAGACAGGCTAGTTGTTGTTGGCCAGATGTCTTATTACATTCAGGAAGTTTTGATGACCCTGTATACTAGAACGAATGGGGCATATTGTATATCGAAGTATAGCTAATTTATTGTTACCATGATTACAGTGTCTGATTGAGAACGGGGCTGACCTGGATTGTAAGAACGAAGAAGAGCAGACTCCACTGCATCTGGCGGCTAAAAACGGAAGAACTAAGTAAGTGGCTCCGAGATGAGATTAATTTTTGTCTATTGTTTTATTCAATCTTTACAAAGATTTCATCAAAATGTTTGAATTTTAAGAAAAAAACTTGCATTGGATGATATGGATTCCAGATTTGTTAAGAAATAAGTTACACAATGTTCTTAAATCTGAAGGACTTTCTAGTTTTAACTCTCTTGTTTTGCAGTGTTGTGCGAGAGATGGTGCTTCGTGATCACTCATCCGTGAATGATGAAGATGAGGACTCTAACACGGCTTTACATCTGGCCACACTTCACGGTCACACCAAAGTCGCCATGATCCTCATCAAAAACGGAGCAGACGTCGCCGCAAGGTTAGTCTTAGAAATTGATTTCATATATTTTCAACACTTGTTCAATGAGAGTGAAGGATGTGAACAATAAAAATTCGATCTGCTTGATACTCTTGAAAATATTCTTAAAGTCATGACAGCATGTCTGAAATCTGCAGTGTTGCAAATATACCAGATTCAGTGCAACACACAGATGGAGACTACATTCTTGGTGCAGAAGATTTCATTTAAGAGTACAGTTTTTTATTAATGTCTGTTTTCTGATGCATCTTAGTTTATTTTAATTACTTAATTGATTCTAAATTGATTCTGTAACTTTTATCTTTAAATTTATAAAATTTTAGAAACTCTGTGTTATGGACCCCCCTTGATTGTGCGGCTGCTAAGGGTTGGTTAAAAACGGTCAAGTGTTTACTGGACGCTGACGCACAGGTGGACCCTATGGATAAAACGAAGGTCAGTTCTCCATGTTTATCAGACCAAGTTCTTTATTCTGTTTATCGTTTATCATTTCTTCACACCTCCACTTGATAGTGACAATTCGACTAGTGATGTAGTTAAAACATTCATTAATTGTTTAATTTTTATGCAAACATTATCTATTAAGATAAAGTTTGACAATAAATAAATAAAAAAAAAAATGTTACTAATTGCTGAAGTGTTTGATGAATACATGTAAATGTATTTATAATTTTGTAGACCACCCCCCTTCATTTGGCCTCTCGTTATGGACACGCTGATGTCGTCAAGTGTTTACTGGAACACAATGCTAACGTATCACAACGAGACACGGACGGAAACAACTGTCTGGATCTGGCTATTGACAACAATAAACCGTAAGTGACATAAAAAACTGTGAGACAGGAATAACAAAGTTTAGGTTGAGAATATTTTTTAAAAACGAGACAAAAACCCCTTAGTTATTTACAACAAAAAAGGTAATGTAAGTTATGAAGAATAACTGACCATAAGCAACCACTTTAATTCAATAAACTATTAATCATGGAGATCGAGACATCCACTCTGCTGTATTTGTAGTAATGACTATCTTCTCAAATATATTTTTGTTTTTCTAGTGATGTTGCGTCGGTCATCATAAACAGTGACAAGTGGGAGGAAGCCATGAGGAATGAGACCCCAGACATAGCCACAGGCCTACGTACCACACCCATGAGGAAACTCATCAAGAAAATGCCAGGTCAAGATCAGTATCTATACTGAATTAATGAATGAAAATATTTACTTATTCAAGAAATTACATAATTTTTAGATTATTGGTGAATAGTTTTTCGATATGTGTGCAAAAAATATAAGGTATTCATTTTTCTTTATTTAAGGAATGAATTTAATAGCTACCCATTTTATAGGGTATAAACTGGGTTGGGGCAGTTTATGCTTTATTAACCGTGAAGCGGTTTAAAAAAAAGCGTAAACTGTTCCAACCCAGTTTATGCCGTAAAAATGGGTAGCTATTAAATTCATTACTTATAATTTAATTTCCATTCATTTGATGTAAGTAAAAAAGATGATTGTTTTAACAAGATGACTTCAATTTGTACAAAATTTGAATGTAACGTCAGGCGGATTGATACGTTTCTGACGTAAGTCATTGTGACGTAGGCAACCTATTTTATACGATATGAAGTAAATTTTATATCCAATCAAATACAGCATTACAACTAGAATTAAATTATATAATTAAGACAGACCCAAACTAGAGAGTAGATAATTGTATTTACAGAAATAGCAGAGGAGGCTTTTCTTCGCTGTATGACGACAAACAATAGGAACCCAGAGCACCCCGACTACAAGTGTACGTTTAACTACGAGTTCCTGGACGATACGTACTCCAACTGGACAGAGGGAGGGACCAGCGAGGGGTCGGGGTCAGGTCAGTGTTTGATAGAGGGAGTGGGGAAAGGGACATTTGGAGGTTTGGGATCAGTGAGTGTATGGAGAGGGGAAGTAAGAGAAAGGGGTCAGGTGTGTGTATGATAGATAGGGGGGATAAAGGGATAAATGAGAGATGTGAGTGGATGAGAGAGAAGGGGATAGGAGTAGTGGGAGAGAGGGACAGATGGGGGTTTAGATCAGTGGATATATGAAAGGGGAAGTATGAGAGATTGGTAATTGAAGGATTTGGATTAGGTGGGGGTATGAAAGAGGGGGACAAATGAGTGGTCTGTAGCAAGTACAGTACCTGGCCATAATACAGTACGCAAAATGGCGGCCGTAAAAAATAAAAAAAAATAAACATGCATTTTCTTTCTCTATATCTCGGTAAATTGAAAGTAACAAGTTTTGACAGTTATGTGCATCCATACATAATCGTCATATCTGACGTCACGTAAAATGGGGGTTCCGTTCATCTATTCTTAGAATAGATTAGTACGTCATACAAAATGGCTACGAGAGGAAAAGACCTGTCGACAGATAAAAAGCAGACGATCGTTTCTATGTTTAATAGTGGGTTAAGTAGCCGAAAAATTGCAGAACTTATAGGAATTAGTCCAAATACTGTGCAGAAGGTGTTGAAAAGAAATCAAGAAAGGGGTTCAGTGGAGAACAGAGGAAGATCGGGCAGGAGAAGATTGGTGAGTGAATGGGGGGATCGTGTGTTCTAAAGAAAGATTGGTCAAGAAAAATCGGCGACAGACTTTGTCTGATTTAACCAGCAGTTTAAACGAATCTTTACCCCAGCAAGTTTCTAGCAGGACAGTTCGACGAAGGTTAAAGGAACAGTGTTACCAGCGATGCTGTGTTTCTAAGAAAATAACGATTTCTAAAAATAATCGCCAAGCCCGAATTTCCTGGTGCCGGACTAAATTGGCCTGGACAGTTGAACAAAACTGGTCACAAGTTATTTTCAGTGATGAAATGAAAGTTGTGTTAGGCAAGGACAGGAAAGTACATGTCTGGAGGAAACCCGGTGAACGACTTCAGCCAGCTTGTCTCGGTATGTGCAGTAATCACTCCCCCCACTCGGGTATATCAGCCATGTTTTGGGGCTGTTTGTCTTACCATGGTGTCGGAACTTTAACAGAAGTTGAGGGAAATATTAATTCTGAGAAGTATATCTCTGTTTTGGATGACAATTTGTGGCCTCTTGTTGCTAAAGAATTTAGCGAAAGTCCGTGGATATTACAAGAAGATAACTGCCCCGTTCACCAATCTCGACAGACCGTCGCTTGGAAAGAAGAAAATAATGTTCCTACCCTTACTTGGCCAAGTCAATCTCCCGATATTAACATTATAGAAAATATATGGAGAACAATCAAAGTTCGACTAGAACACCGGTTACAGGACATTAAAAATCGGCAGGACTTAATTCGAGTCGCAAAAGAAATTTGGGTGTCGATCGATTCCGAGGCTATAAAAAAATTATACAAGTCTATCCCAAAGAGACTTAAGGCTGTCATAAAGGCAAAGGGATATATTACGAAATATTAATAAGGTAAGACATATTCCACTTCATTCTTAGTGAAAAAATGACGAACGAAATCTCAGGTGTCAAAACATTTTATTGAAACGGCCGCCATTTTGCGTACTGTATTATGGCCAGGTACTGTAGGTATATTAGAGAGGGAATAGGATTGTGTGGGGGAGAGAAACTTGTGAGGGGTCAGGATAGGGGGTGTTTGTGAGAGGAGAAAATATTTTTAGAAATGATGTCAAATTTTTCTTGTTTTGTAAAGCAAAAGGAAAGTTGTATTCATTTAATAATAAAGTAGGCTGATGGTTCTCTGATTTTTAAGTGGATATAAAAAGGAACCTTGGTTAGTTAGACAAGTTATAGCATGATGCTAAGTCATTAGTAGCCATTTAATTTTTTGCCTAGTTTTGCTATGGATGTCTTATGCTTTTTGCATGCCTGCAGAGCGGGGAAGGATGACTGGTGAGATTTCTGTAGCAGTTTATTGAATGAAAAAACAATGTTAGATTTGGTAGTCTGTGTTTCAAAATTTAAGTTTTAGTGTACTTGTATCTATTGTTTTAAATTTCAGTTTACGTCACACTGTATTATTTCTTTTAAGGTTAAAGGCAACAGGTGCTACTTTTATTTTCTGTACCTACATTTATTTTCCATATCTGATATTTGTAATTGGATAATTAATACTTCTGAATTAAGAAATAAGACAAAAAAGGAAATTGAGAAACTTTATCCTTGATATCAGTTTGTCTCTTTTTAACATTAGACAGGTCGGAGAGAATACTCGAAATCGGGTATTATCCGTGAAATCGCGTATAATACTCGATATTAGGGTATCGTTGAATCCGCGAAATCGGGAATAGGAGGTGTAATCACCTAATAAATCTTATACAATGGGATGGCGCATCTTGCCGAGTTAACTTTCATCTGGATACACATGTTTTCTAAAGGTATCACTAGCCAAGTAAGAATTTGGGCTTCAAGATTAATGCGCTCAGGACAACAAATTCCCGTGGACCTCAGTACATTTCATGATCTGCACACAAAAAGGCGTTCGATTTGCTTTATATTTTTCCTTAGGTTGAAAGTTTATGCATCTTCCTAAGGTTCATTCCCAACACAACAGAATTGTAAAGTATCAGAATTCGGGAATTTATAATAATTCCACATCAACACGACAAACATGAACAATTTGTAAATAAATAAAATTATACGGAAACACATTTCACACACCAGATATGATGCCATGTGTAAACAAGGGATTGTTTATCGTATCTAATTATGCGTCATTAATTACTTTCACATTCATCTTGTGCATAAAATCAAATTTATTTATGAATGTATAAATAATGTAATGATAAAAATGTCTAAAATTTTGGCTAAAAGAACCCTCTTTCTCTTTTTTTGAAAATCTTTTCTTTTTTATTTATCATTCAAACATATTTGCAGAATATGTCTTCAACATTTTAGCAGAGACAGTGAAAGTTTCAGGAATACAGCGTATGAGAGAACATAACTGTTGATCGTTTAATTTCGCTGAGTCATCAATATTTTACCATTTCTTGGCGACTTCAAAAAGGGGGGGGGAGGCTAAAGGCTTCTTGACCACCTCTGACAAAACAACCTCAACTGTGTTCTACATGTGTCCAAGAGACATCTCTTAAAATAACTAAAAGAAAACTGTGACATATTGTCTAGAACCAATCAGATAGTGCGTTGTATTAGCATATTATAATGAGGTATAAGATAGCGATATAAAAAAAAATATAGAAGGTAAAGAGGTAAAATTTACCCTGTCTATCAAATAGTATAATAAAGAAAGGAAGTGGCTACGATTTTTATGAAATTTTAATGTCCGATGAGGAATTATATTCCCAAAAAGTAAGACAAGAGTTTTCAAGGCAATTGAACATTCCATTATTTCAGTTTGTTCATTAACATGTTCATAAACAATGTATTTTAACTTCATGAAAAGATGTACACATTTGATTTTTATTTATACCCCCCCCCCCCAAAAAAAAAAAAACACAAGAAAATCCTGTTCATATGGCTTCTCGCTCTCAATTTTCACACAAATGCATAAAATAAAGGTAAAATAGTATATCTTGTATCGATTAAAATGCAACCAAAAAATTTACGGTGTCTTTGAATAAAAATTTCATGCTAAATTGACATAAAAAAGATACTCACCTTCAATTAGCTATTTTCAAACTGTTTTCCCGTGGGTATTTATTTCATCTTATATTATTTTCTTCTTTATAAAAACGTTGGTATTCTATTATTGCAGAGATATACAATTATGACTCGCTTATACTGTACTCTCTAACTGTAAGGAATAATTTATATTTCACGAAAAAGGGACGCCATACATTTTTCAGTAAAAATACATAACACTTCGTTAGTCGTTTAATTTCTTTAAAGTTTCACATTTTGTGAATATTGCACAAATTAGAAAATTAAGTATATGGAATACTTTAATGGGAAATAAAGACAAGCGAGTGTAGTTATTTGTTTTTAGAAATTATATTGAAAAATAATAACGCCATTGCGTCCTCTTTGGTACCCCAGCTGTGTTTGTCGTGTGATTTTAAACTTATTTGACAACCTTATGAATTAGGTTTAATAAAAATAAATCCACAAGATACTGATGTACAAGTAACTGTTACTGGCATAATGCGCCGTTGCTTAATTCTTTTGTTTTTATAGAAAGTTGCACGGAATACCCGATTTCGCGGATTCAACGATACCCTAATATCGAGTATTATACGCGATTTCACGGATAATACCCGATTTCGAGTATTCTCTCCGACCTGTTAGAGAAGGCAATTTGTTAATATAAAAAGAAGAAATAAAAGACTTATTATCAGGAAAAATTCTAGGGCTTTGACCAAAAATAGCAAATTTGCAAATTTAATAGCCTGTAAGAAAAGATTTTTTAAAAGAAATTCTTTTAATTCATTCCTTTTGCTTATGAACATCTTTCTAAATGATTACTTTTAGGAGCGACATATTCAATAGAACTATTCATTTTATTTTTTTTGTAAAGTGTTTTGATGTTGTCTTTTCTTGTAGTCATTGTATAAAGTCTGAGCTGACCTAATTTTTTTCTAAGCATGATCACCATCTGATGTGAATGTTTTCAGAAGAAAAACTTTTGAAGTTAGAACAGGTTTTAGACAGTTTATTATGCTTTCTTCAGTGTACAAACAGTTATAGAAAATCTTAAAACTAACTGTAATATTTTCATTCAGGGAGTGTTTACAATGAGGACTTCACACTAAATGTGTCGGCCCGACCATACACATCCGACTCCAGCGAATTAAAGAACAACCATCCTCTCATCATAATGGTAGGTCAATATTACTGGCAACTCAAAGGGATATTATTGATTGATTCATAAAAGCATGATGAATTCATACCTGTCAACTCTCCCGAATTTATCGGGAGTCTACCGATTTTTAGCCATCCCTACCGACTGTCTACCGATTTCTTTTTAAACTGCCGTTTCTACCGATTTTGAAAAATTCCGGATTTTTTACCTAATTGGGTTCGTAAAATACCGACTAGTCAACACAAAAATGGGGGACATACTAAAACAAGTCCCACGGGGAAAATAAGTCCCACATGAGTCCCACAGAAAAATAATGAGTCCCACCAGTAAATATGATATTTTATTAATTTTTAACAACATATCTTTATAGGTTATCATTGTTTAGATATATTTTGAATAAAATTTTGTCACAAAAAATGTTTTAGAAGCCGGTTACAACGATTAGTTACAAAAACAAAGAACGATAACTCCTATATCCTCATATAACTCTATAGTGTTTCCTAATCCCAACAATAATGATAACATTTTAGTAGTTTTTGAAAACAAAAATTAAAAGATATAATAATTTTATTATTGAATTAATTCTATTTTAAAAATGCAAGAAGTTCTAAGATGTTTTCTAATGATCGTGTATAAACAAAGAGCAATAACTCTTACATCTGCCTCAAGTATTGAAGTAACAAGCCATCCAAATTTTAATTCTAAAGATTTTATGAAACTTTAACAATGTTCCTTGGTTTTTATGCCTTCTGTAGCAGTTCTAATGACTAAAAAAACTACTACCAAAAACAGACATTTTCAATAATTTTTTATATAAATTTAACAATTTTACAACATCAAAACTTGGGAAATTCAATGATTTTTTTCAATGCTAGTCTTGTATTTATCAAGCATATGAGAAAGAGATTTTTAGTTAATATGTGCAATGTAAAATCTAAATCTATAATCTAAAGCCATTCTTTCTTTTGAAAATTATGACTATACAGTCCTAGGAAAATATATAGTCCTACAAGTATTGTTTTAAAGATAAAGATTTTTAGTGAACTAGTTTACTCATTCATAACATGGTATGAAATTGGAAGTGATTTATATCTGACAACAGTGATAAACTAGTATTTTAATGATATCTTAATTTTTTTTTAAATTACATTAAACGTTTATAATACTTTGTATTTTATAACAGTTAAGTGAAATGAGGAATCAAACTGCAAAAATCAGAATTCCAGTTGACTGAGTTGAGATAGCTGTGTTTTCAACCATTAAAGACACTTGCATTGTGAAAAACTTTCAGTTAATTAGAGAATTAGTACTCAGATGCATGGGCTTGTATTCAGGTATCCTGGAAATATATTTGATGAATATGATGAACTTGTGGAAAATAAACATGTTTATTATTAAGTTATAACGTGTTTTAATTCTGTTAAAGTCCTTCTGTCGAAGATGAAAAGCACGTCTTATAATTATAAGATAATTTTTTTATTTGTTTATGCAAATTACAATTCTTATAATGCACAATAAATAGTTACATCACTTCACTGACATTCAATAACGCAATTGCAGGATTTCAGAACCTAAGTTATGGACTATTAAAGTTTGGCTACTGAAGTCCATATATAAAATTCATTCATTAAAAAAAAATTCTTTGAGATCAAAATTAAATTCAACATCTAATTTCGTTGACTTTTTTTGGTGTACATATAATTCATGGTGTAAATCAAATCACTATAAAATTCCAAGTTTATTTTTAAAAATACTCTTTTTTGACAAGTTCCATATCCAGGAGTAAACTGGCTTTAACATTTGTTTAGTAATCTAAATTTTTATCTTTATTTAAATGATGAATAATAAACACATTTTTAAATAGAGAAAATGGACAGATAACAGTTACTTCTCTGCATGGTATTTGTTCTACAAATTAATACAAGTTAAATTGATGCAAAGCATCAAATCGGCCGCAAACAAAATTTAGCATTAACAAATTTCTTTTACAATTTTCAAAGTGTCCATGAAAGGAAAGCACGTCAAGATACTAGTATTCAAAGGTGAAATAGTTGATTCTTTTTTATTTTAGGCTGTCTTCAAAGCAAAATAAATAATTAGGGTGAGTTCACCATGCATCGGACACATACCTTGCTTCGGACAACTTTAGGCAATGAACTCTCTTTCAACTTAAGAGTTCTGTGTATTTATTTGTTTCTGTCTTAAAGATGAACATTTAATTTTTTTAATGATACTGATTGTTTTCATCATGTCGTTATAAAATTACCCCGAGAATGGCCTTGAAGTTACGTCATATTTTACATCATCAAAGGGGCATAATCCGAAATTTATGATATTGCAATTTTTAGAGTTATCGTTCTTTTAAATTCGACTTTCACGGAACGAGTCGGACTTAGATGAATTTTGTCAGAGATTAGTAATTTTACATATATTATAAAGAAATTTCACTTCAATGTTTGTTTAATTCTTATTAGAGCTGGTTTTTACTAGTATACTCATTTAACCGTACATCGGACACAAATTAACCATGCATCGGACACTTTCTGATGCAAAGTTAATCACTACCATTTTCATACAGAACCCAACTGACAGTTGGTTTTTGCTGAAATAGAAAATAAAAACTCTGAATTTACAGTCAAAATACAAGTTATCGATATATTACGTCTTGAATCTGATTCAATTCATTTCTACAAACCAGAGTATTTTAACGGATGAGAAAAAGGCGCGAATTACCGCATTACAAGCGTTTTAAAGCCTTTCAAAGGCAGAATAAGGCATATTGAATATTTCCATATTTGTGCAACGATCTCGTCAAATAAATTTAATTTGAGGGTTATTTCTTAGATAAATTATAAAAGTATATCTATATCAAGGATTTTAAAGCACTGTGATAAAGGTATGATATTTTTCGGTCGAAATACCGTCTGTCCGATGCATGGTTAATAATGCCCGATCCATGGTGAATTTTGAGTTTTTTAGAAAAAATCAATTTTTGGTGATATTTTCTCAATAAAAGGCTTATAATTGTGTCCCATATTTATATTTTAATTCATACTAAGTGTTAAACTCCATTTTTATAATTTTCCGTTGGTAGCGATATCACTAGAACTTGTTGAAGTACAAGGGTATCCGATGCATGGTGAATTCACCCTATTTGAAATTAAAAAAATAGACATTTCTTCCTTTTGCTTATAAATAGATTCATCTATGTAAAAAGGACAGCAATAAATGATAAGAATTTATTTTCATCAAAATAAAGATGTAGATGTTTCAAGATGAACCAGGTGCTGATACCCTGGATCTTGGTCACGTGATAATGCCCATGGCTGTGCTGCAAGGCGCAGTACAAAATGTAGAAAAATTTCTTTGTGTTATTTGCAGCCGTAGAGCATGTTCAAAACAATTTTTACTGGTTGAAATTTTTTTCAATTTTTATTCACCAATCCATGCACATTTACACGTCATTTTTATCCGGAAAATCATGACGATTTCCTTTCATATCTTATACACTACCAGGCTGGGGAGTATCTATTTGTTAACTCTTTTTACATAACCATAAATTATCAATTATCTGATGAGAAATGATAAAGAAATTGAAACATAGTAGCAACAATTAACACTATATTCAAAACAATTTTTGAAAATATTTTACTCATGGTTTTCTACTTGTTATCATTTGAGAAATATTTCCCTGACCTAATGAAAAATAACGTCTCATTTCCCCATGTGCACTTTCGAACACAATTACAAATAGATCGGCCGCTGCTGCGGCCGATAACAAAACTTCAATGGTTGTGCCTTTAATACTATTATTTGGAATCTTTTCATACAAGTCAAGAATTTACAATACAGTTTATGCTGACTTCGTCTATTCTAAATCAGAATTCTTTATTAATTTAATTTTCAAGGAATGTTTTTATTTATGAAATCAAATACAAACAATTTTTGATTAATGACCTTATTTGTCATACATAATAGTAGCTGAAATTTCAATAATTCTACATTTAATTTATTATTTTATTTGAATTCCAAATGGTGTAACCTAGCCCCAGCCTTGTTCAAAAGTTATTGTAATAGGTATACAAACAACAGGGAGATTGAAAGGTGTGAATAACATCCCCCAGGTGTTGTATACAGGTATACCAGGGACATATCTCTTCTCAATGTACAGATGTCTGTGTATATACACAATAAACATTGGGTGTCAGGAAAACTTACCAAGTTGTTGTTAAATTACATAAAACCACAGTAAAACTATTTTAGTTTGTAAGAAACAAAGTAATAATATAAAATCATTATAATAAAATAAAACTTACTTTGAGTTGTATTTAATATAATTGGAAGAATATTTTCAAACGAAACTTAAAAATTCAAGTAAAACAGAAGAACAAATTAAATTCAGAAATAGCACCATATTAAATTAACTTACTTATTAAAATATATTTTTACAAATATCTATTTTTTTTTTTTAGAAAAAAAAGTTAGCTATCAGCAGTACTTAAACATTGTCAATATAGTTCTTGGCTATTGTTTACATTTGAACAGAGTTATCGCTCTTGACTGTGGTCTGATTTTACAATCGTCTATTTAACACACTTAAAACATTTTATCAAAACTTTTTTTGATATATGATCATATAAATGTAATATTCTTTCAAAATGACCCTTTATTATATGTATTTATTGGCTCTTTTGCTGTGGGACTCACGTAGGACTCATGTGGGACTTATTTTCTCCGTGGGACTTGTTTTAGTATCAGCGCAAAAATGGAGGCCATGCAGTGTTTATATCGGTAGCTAATCTGTTTATTGCCACTGATAACAGGTAATCAACAAGGTGTCAACTGTGCTAGCAGATGTAATTGCAGTAGTAATTGCTCCTTATTCTCATTAAAAGTGTATATTATCAAAGACAGAGATGCCAGATGTGGAAATTTTTACAGAACATGACGGTAAAGAACGATATGGAAGTACTTGATACTTTGCTGCAAATAAGTTTACAAGTGCTTAAGACAAAACTATTACTCCATAAACAATACACTGATCAGGAAAGATGTAGCTACAGTACTCTATTATTACTTTAACAAGGAGAGGGAAACAATTTCATGGAAGCTAACATAAATGTTCAGAGTCAGCTGAAGATTTCCCAACAGATTTTGAGATTCAATGACTTAGTAAATCCTGCATCAACATATAACAGCCCCTGAAACTACAGAGCAACAAGACAGTGTCTTTAGAAGACTTCTTTAAATTTACAAAGCTAAACAGGGTAATGCATTTCTAAATTGAAATATAAAATAAGCACATTAGAACATTACTAAAATAAAGTATTATATTTAAAAATTTTGATATATGTTATGAGATTAAAAGAGAAAAAAATACAGGGTGTTTCATTCATACTATATTACACATTATTTTAAGAATGTAAGCATGAAGTTTTTACAATTATTTCAATTTCAGATCTTTAAATCAAGGATACAACTCATGTCCCTTAGACTTAGTGAGAAAAATCCATTCATCCATTTATTAAAAGCTTGAAACTCAAGACTGTCTGCAGAACTTTATTAATTTTTCTAATTGCCAAGTTAAACTACAACATTTGCCATGAATATTATTTAAATGATGCTTTTATGGACTGGCAGAATAGATAGTGAACATAAAATTTTATAATTTCAAAATTAATTCACATTGTACAAGTTTCTAAACAATGTTTGAATAAACAGTAAATTTTATGAATTAATGATGGTGTTAATATTAATAAAGTTTTATCTTGTTGTTTATTTTTTTTCTTTAAAACAGTGAAACGCGCGATGACTTTTTGTATTTGCAAAAGGTCGTCGCGCGTTTTCTCCCCCGAAAAATTTTGGCCATGTTGACAGGTATGTGAATTTATTGATTTTTTCACATCATTGGTCAAAAAATTGAATTGCAGTACTTGTTTGATTTAACGTATAGTGAAAAAATAATTTAAAAAATTTATCATTTTGTCATTGCCATTGATACTTATTATTAAGTTCAGTTTCTGTTTCTCTCTCTGAAAATAGCAAGACTTAGTAAAATAAGTTTATCTAACATCTACATATACTCTTACATTTGAAAACCTCTATGTACTGCTGTAGGTGGACTCTAAGCGAGAGGACCTGCTGGCTCATCCCTTGGTGAACGCTTTACTACGACACAAGTGGAACAGCTTTGGGCGGACGTTCTACTACATCAACTTTCTTATCTATGCGGTCTTTCTGGTCTTTCTCACAGGCTACGTCGTCCAGACGGACCCTCCATTTGAAGTGTAGGTTAAAAATTAGGGGCAAAAATATAAACTGTATACAGAGTTATTTTCACCCCATGTTTTTTTGCCTGTTAACACAAACATACAATTCTGTCCAATTTTAAATTTACCCAGTCATAGTTTTGTTAAGAAATAATACCATATTCCTTGAAATCGCCCAACTGTGAGTAGGGCTAAAGGGGCAAAAATAAAACAGGGGGAAAATTTCTCTGTATACAGTATATCAAAATTTTGTTTACTTTTTCACAAAAATCTTACTGATTATTCTGGAGCAGGTAGAATCATAATTATGAATTAAAAATTAAGAAATTATTACATTTGGTTAAAATACTGTTAGAATTGCTCAGAGGCCACTGGACTTTGTTTTTAGTGACCTTATCCCGCGAATCTCTTTTTCTAGATATGAGCAGTTAAAGAGAAATGACTCAAGCATTTCTTCAAGTACACCGGAAAAGACAGCCTGTGCAAAAGCTTTAACTCTACATGACCCAAGCAAAGATATGTTTGACCAACCACTCTTCGCTACGATTGGGAAATATGTCATTATGGGTCTGGCGGCATGGAACTTACTCAGAGAAGTAAGGAGTTTGACACCCAATAAAAATAGTTGTATAATTATTATATAAATTTAAATTATTTTAAATTGACAATAACGTTCCCAATTTTGAAAACAGAAAAAAATTCAGAAAGAAACAAGAGCTACAGCTACAGGAGCTACAGGAGGAAATAATTAAAAATTAATATATAAAAACGAGACTAGACAGAGTGTCAGGCCATGCCCAGAATCTAAACCAGCAAACCTAGACCTAAATTTGTCTCAGTTTTTTTAGCTCTACTGGTCAGAGACCAGAAGAGCTTATGCGATAGTAATGCGTCCGTCGTCCGTCCGTCTGTCTGTCCAGCTGTCTGTCTGTCCGTCTGTCTGTAAACAATTTTTCAAAATGCTACTCCTCCTACAGTTTTGGTCTGATTTCAATATAACTTGGCACACAAGTAGACTACACTAAGATACATAATTCTGTGTATCGGTTTTTGATTTCAGTGAACGGTGTTGCCGTTGTTACTAAAAATAGAAATTTCTGTAAAATTTTTTCAAAATGCTACTCCTCCTACAGTTTTGGTCTGATTTCAAAATAACTTGGCACACAAGTAGACTACACTAAGATACATAATTCTGTGTATCGGTTTTTGATTTCAATGAACGGTGTTGCCGTGGTAACTAAAAATAGAAATTTCTGTAAAATATTTTCAAAATGCTACTCCTCCTACAGTTTTGGTCTGATTTCAATATAACTTGGCACACAAGTAGACTACACTAAGATACATAATTCTGTGTATCGGTTTTTTGATTTCAATGAACGGTGTTGCCGTGGTAACTAAAAATAGAAATTTCTGTGAAATTCTTTCAAAATGCTACTCCTCCTACTGTTTTGGTCTGATTTCAATATAACTTGGCACACAAGTAGACTACACAAAGATACATAATTCTGTGTACGGTTTTTGATTTCAGTGAACGATGTTGCCGTTGTTACTAAAAATAGAAATTCCTGTGAAATTCTTTCAAAATGCTACTCCTCCTACAGTTTTGGTCTGATTTCAAAATAACTTGGCATACAAGTAGACTACACTAAGATACATAATTCTGTGTATCGGTTTTTGATTTCAATGAACGGTGTTGCCGTGGTAACTAAAAATAGAAATTTCTGTAAAATATTTTCAAAATGCTACTCCTCCTACAGTTTTGGTCTGATTTCAATATAACTTGGCACACAAGTAGACAACACTAAGATACATAATTCTGTGTATCGGTTTTTGATTTCAATGAACGGTGTTGCCGTGGTAACTAAAAATAGAAATTTCTGTGAAATTCTTTCAAAATGCTACTCCTCCTACAGTTTTGGTCTGATTTCAATATAACTTGGCACACAAGTAGACTACACAAAGATACATAATTCTGTGTACGGTTTTTGATTTCAGTGAACGATGTTGCCGTTGTTACTAAAAATAGAAATTCTTGTGAAATTCTTTCAAAATGCTACTCCTCCTACAGTTTTGGTCTGATTTAAATATAACTTGGCACACAAGTAGACTACACTAAGATACATAATTCTGTGTATCAGTTTTTGATTTCAATGAACGGTGTTGCTGTTGTTACTAAAAATAGAAATTTCTGTAAAATTCTTTCAAAATGCTACTCCTCCTACAGTTTTGGTCTGATTTCAATATAACTTGGCACACAAGTAGACTACACTAAGATACATAATTCTGTGCATTGGTTTTTGATTTCAATGAACGGTGTTGCCATGGTTACTAAAAATAGAATTTTCTGTGAAATTCTTTCAAAATGCTACTCCTCCTACAGTTTTGGTCTGATTTCAATATAACTTGGCACACAAGTAAACTACACTAAGATACATAATTCTGTGTATCGGTTTTTGATTTCAATGAACGGTGTTGCAGTTGTTACTAAAAATAGAAATTTCTGTGAAATTCTTTCAAAATGCTACTCCTCCTACAGTTTAAGTCTGATTTTTATATAACTTGGCATACAAGTAGACTACACTAAGATACATAATTCTGTATATCGGTTTTTGATTTCAGTGAACGGTGTTGCCGTTGTTACTAAAAATAGAAATTTCTGTGAAATTCTTTCAAAATGCTACTCCTCCTACAGTTTTGGTCTGATTTCAATATAACTTGGCACACAAGTAGACTACACTAAGATACATAATTCTGTGTATCAGTTTTTGATTTCAATGAACGGTGTTGCCGTTGTTAATAAAAATAGAAATTTCTGTAAAATTCTTTCAAAATGCTACTCCTCCAACAGTTTTGGTCTGATTTCAATATAACTTGGCACACAAGTAGACTACACTAAGATACATAATTCTGTGTATCGGTTTTTGATTTCAATGAACGGTGTTGCCGTGGTAACTAAAAATAGAAATTTCTGTAAATTTTTTTCAAAATGCTACTCCTCCTACTGTTTTGGTCTGATTTCAATATAACTTGGCACACAAGTAGACTACACTAAGATACATAATTCTGTTTATCGGTTTTTGATTTCAATGAACGGTGTTGCCGTTGTTACTAAAAATAGAAATTTCTGTAAAATTCTTTCAAAATGCTACTCCTCCTACAGTTTTGGTCTGATTTCAATATACCTTGGCACACAAGTAGACTACACTAAGATACATAATTCTGTGTATCGGTTTTTGATTTCAATGAACGGTGTTGCCGTTGTTACTAAAAATAGAAATTTCTGTGAAATTCTTTTAAAATACTACTCCTCCTTCAGTTTTGGTTTGATTTCCATAAACTTGGCATACAAGTAGACTACACTAAGATACATATTTCTGTGTATCAGTTTTTGATTTTGATGAACGGTGTAGCCGTGGTAACTAAAAATAGAAATTTCTGTTAAAACTCTCAAAATGCTATTCCAAGTACAGTTTAAGTCTGATTATAATATAATGTGGCATGCAAGTAGACTACACTAAGAACATAAAGAGACTTAATAAAAGCTCATTATTCTTTTTATTGCTGTGGTAAAGTTTCAATTCCCAACTGCTTAAGAACTTTTCTTTTCCTTTGCTATAAGAACAAACCAGTAGAGCTTCAGTCTCGACAGAGACTTCTGGTTGTTTATGTTACAGCTGTTACAAATCTACCAGGCTAAGCTACAGTACCTGGACTTTGTTTAATTGATATACATTATTATTGTTTATGTTACAGCTGTTACAAATCTACCAGGCTAAGCTACAGTACCTGGGCTTTGTTTAATTGATATACAGTATTATTGTTTGTGTTACAGCTGTTGCAGATCTATCAGGCCAAGCTACAGTACCTGGGCTTTGAGAACCTGATAGAGTGGGTGACCTATGTGTGTGCCCTACTCCTTGTTATCGACTTTGAGAGTTGTCAGAAGTCAACAGGATTCAGATTTGTAAGTGGACATTTACATATTAGGTATCACCAGTCAGGGGTGTGAATGAAATCCATCATTTTTAAAAATGATTGATAATGGTCATTTCCTCTAAGTATATAATGTACATGTTCTTATTTTTGTAAATATGACTTCTTTTCATCATATTTCCATTCCCAAGTCAATTTTTCTCAACCCTTTTACTACAGTTATTAGATATAGTACAGTATCCTGCCATAGACCCTTGTGTAGAAAAACTTCTTGACAAGTAATTGAAACCAAAATAATTTAGTGCGCCCCCATAAAACTAATGAGATAATTAAGTGCGCCCAGACCTAACAATTTGATAAAAAATGATGAAATACAGTCATTTTAATATCAGAGGTAACTCTATTGAAAAAAGAAATGACTGTTTTTCATCATTATTCTAAAAAAAATGAATTTCAAATCATTATTAAAAATCAATTTAATGACTAGAAATCATCATTTTCAGAAATGATGAATTTTCATCACACCCCTGACTGATCTCAAAAAAAAGTATTCATATTATACAGAAATTTATTTTAGACAGAATTCATGAATTTTAAAAAAAAATGATTAATTTGGAAAAATAATGCAATACTATGCAGAGACCTGACATCCATAATGTTGAAAGATAATCAAACAAAAAAAAAAATGAAGAATAATATTTTTAGATTTATATTATGTGTTAAGTGTACGCATACATAAACTGTATCTGAAGTTAGGGCTGGGTATTGGCCAGAGATTTCGTATTGCGATATATTGCGATATTTAAAAATGTATTGCGATATATGTATTGCAATATTTTCAATGTAATAAAAGTGGCATTTTCTTACTATATTTACTTTAATTTACATGCAGAACGTACATAACTATGATAAATAACCAAAACGGAAAAAAAATCTTGTTGATTTCATTTAAGTTATGCTCTGAAATGTTCCCACAAAACAACTTCCGACTTACTGTTTGGCTTAATAACAAACGTTCATCAGTTCATTTTTATTTTTAATGACAAAATTCCTTAATCTAAGAAAATTGCAAATATATCGATATTACAAAATCGTATTGCGATACGATATTTTTTGCCATTGTATTGCAATATATCAAAATATCAATATTATTGCCCAGTCCTATCTGAAGTGTTATTATGAATTTGGTTTAACATATTTTTATTATTTGTTAAAGTTTCAGCTAAAATTTCAAAATTTATTTTTCCATTTTTACAAATATTTAAATAGGGTCTTTCTAATAATCATAAAAGATTTGAACACCAGTTGTCCAGATACAAGAAAGATTTAGAGCTCCAAACCTTTGTTATGTAAACAAGGCTAGTGTCATGTTTTTGTTTAAACAGGTTAACATAGTGGCAAAAGCTCGTTTAGTATTCTATTTTGTTTATATGTATTACTAAAAATGAATAACTACGTCCTTATTATTTGCAGACATGGCAGTGGTCGGTGGGAGCTGTGGCGATCTTCCTCTGCTGGATTAACCTGGTTCTCTTCCTCCAGAAGTTCCCGCGGTTCGGAATCTACGTCGTCATGTTTAAGGACATCCTCAACACCTTCATGCAGTTCGCTCTCGTCTTCTTTCTGTTCATCGTCGCCTTTGGTTTAGGATTTTACTGTCTACTACAAAGCCAGGTTAGATAACTCTGATTTTGTTTTAAATGCCAGATGATATTTTTATCTACTTTGAACTCTCTTCTAAAAACCAGGTTTTATAATAATGATTTTATAAACTTGTGGCATTTTCTTTGCATGCAAACATATACTTTGTAGAGATAAGCTAAAACCACTGTTATTCTTTTGTGCTTTCATACGTCTAAGATAAAATAACAAGTGTTTGAATCCCTAAAACAGCTGTTTCTATTTACAGGATGCCTTTGCGACAGTGTGGGAGTCGCTGATTAAGACAACTGTGATGATGATCGGAGAGTTTGAGTACCAGGACATCTTCTACGGCGCCCAGCTGGACTACTACCCAGAAATCACCTATGTCATGTTTGTCGTCTTCATGATCATCATGTCCATCATCATCATGAACTTACTGGTACGTGCCTTTTGATTGGTTCAGTTCTATGTTATGTGTCTTTTGATTGGTTAATTCCTATGTCATGTGTCCTTTACAGTAATTGGTTCATAGGATTATGTCATGTTGTCTTTTTATTTGTTCATTCCTATGTCATTTGTCCTATACAGTAATTGGTTCATATGACAGTGTTATGTGTCTTTTAATTGGTTCATACCTACATCATGTGTCTTTTCATTTGTTTAACTTCTGTCATGTGTCTTTTCATTGGTTTATTCCTGTGTCATGTGTGTTTTTATTGGTTCATTCCTATGTCATGTGTCTTTTCATTAGTTTAATTTATGTTATGTGTATATTCATTGGCTCAATTTTCTATGTAATATGTCATTTTATTGGTTCCATTTTATGTCTTGTGTCATTTCATTGGTTCCATTTTACGTCATAGTCATTTCACTGGTTCATTTCATTTATCTATATCATGTGTCTATTCCTTGATTCTTACCTTACCAAACAAATAATAGTAAATACAAGCTTTGTAGAATTCAGGTTTGTGTTTAATTTACCTTTGTAACTGGACAGAGATTTATTGTACTTGCTGTATGTGACTTTTGTTCCATACTAGGTTGGTTTGGCTGTAGACGACATTAAAGCTGTACAGGAACAGGCCGCTCTCAAGAGAATGGCTATGCAGGTAAGTCATTCAAAGCATAAAAAAAATATTTTAATCTGAAGTCAAAGTTTATAATTAATAAGAAATTTTACAATAAATTCCATGTTGTTCAGACTTCAGGTGTATTTGTAGGTTGACTTAGCCCTGGATGTGGAGAGAGTGGTACCAGAATTTATAAGGCGGCGATTCGTGGCAAAGTGTGACACGTACAGACCCAACAGGAAGACGTTGAACCCCCTGAAGCTGCTGGCTCGAGCCGAGGCCGGGGATCTGTCATCACAGGCAATCTCTAAAGCCCTAGACCCAGACCTGGTAAGTATTCACTGAATCTTAGAGGGGTGTCAGGGTCTGTAGTCACAGGTGATCTCTAAATCCCTGGGCCCAGACTCTGTAAGTATTCTTTGAACCTTCAGGGGTTTGGGGGTGGGGTTCTGTTGTCACAGTAGATATTTAAAGTTTGGAGTACATAGAAAATACATTCTGTCCTGCTATTAAAACAATTGATGTATTATGTTGACCTGTGACCTTTGTTTAGGATGAGATAGAGAAGGTCATGGAGACCCAAGAGAAGCTACAGAAAGACATCTCCAAATTGAAGGGCGGGGTCAAGAACATCCGGGAACAGAATGCACGACTGGAGGGGATGCTGCGAGTCCTGCTGGAGCAGTCGGGGGTCACAGACTTCAACGAGGAAGACTTCCAGGACCGGGACTAGGGACCATCTCAAAGGGCAAAAAACCTACAAAGGAGCTCAACAGGGGGCATCTTTTAATATCTTGATTGTTTTTTTTTTTGTTGTAAATTTGTGTTATCATTGTGATTCTAAAGCTTACTTTGATATTTACCAGTAATATGTGTCTTATCTAAGGGAAATATAACTCTGTTGTAAGAGAGGCTACCCAGAGTTGCATCCCTTCGTGAACTTTTTTCTTGCTTCAAGAATCAGATTTGTGTTTTCATGGATGAGCGAAAACAATGCAATATTTGATATTCTGAAACTTTTATTCATATAGATTACTAAAGGGTAAAAGTTTTATAACCAGATGCTATTTTTATCTACTTTTTTCTGTTCATACACTTTAAATAGATAAATATTTGTCTGAAATACATGTAAAAATTAAAGCTTGTTTTTTTCTTTATTGTAATAACAATATATTTTCAAAAAAGGTTTTCCTTTTTTTCACTATGTATTTTGCATTGTCATTACATGTATTTCTTTTTATCTGTATTTGGAGATGTGTAACAGAGTAGTATAAATTTTAATACTGTAAGCATAATTAATGTTAGTGATGGAAGTAATATATATTTCTCCTACTCCACAAAAAATTCGATCTGTGAATTATATGGTTGTTGATTTACACAAAATTTATTTTTACACCATATTGTAATGGAAGCACATCAAATGTCAACTGCTACAAAATCTCTATGACTTATTTTGAAACAAAAATAATTTTTTAAAAGATTTTTTTTCATATTAATTTGATGTAAGCTTTGCTATTATTATACCTACTTGTATTTTTTGAAATGTACAGCCCCTTGGGCAAACAGCTGATAATAAATACCTCAGATATTAAGGTCACCTATTTTACAATCTGATGTTTGTCATGTGACTCTTGAATATATGCAATCCTCAAGTATTTATTTTCTACAAACTCTTCTCAAGGCCTTTGAGTTTAAAAACAATCTGTGTTATGAATCAGCATCGAGCGCTTTACTATCTATAAATTGTGATAGACATAATTATTTGGTGGTGCATTAGTTACTGTAGAAGTTTTGGTTTTATGGACCGTGGATATTGGCCTGGATAGTTCAGTGGTTAGAGCACCTGACTACTAACGCAGGGGTCCCGGGTTCTATTCCCTGTCCTGCCATAAGTTTTCTTCATGTATTTCTCTTTTCCTACTACAGTTACATTGATTTTAGTATTCATGTAATAGAATGTTAATACATTTAGTAGTGTTACAATTTTGCTCAATACTGATTGTGATTGTTGAGTACAAAACTTGAATTACTTGAGCATGCTGTTCCAAATTTGAACAATCAATCTGATATTAATATTTTAAATGTACAAAGGGATTTATTTACTTTGTAGTGAATGGATTCATCTGTTTTCCACTTATCCTACTTCAAATGTCCACAACCTAAGTGTACTTTATGGTATTTTGTTAGACAGTGCTTTTAATACTTCATTTGATATACTGTTTTTTCTCTCTTTATTCAGTTTTAAAATATTTCTACCAATTCAAACTTTACAATTGCATGTTGAACCCTTTTTTACTGTGATATTTTGTTCGGCTTTTTTGGTTTATGCTATTAGTGTGGAACACAATAACAGGACCAGTAATTCATTTCTATTGTTTACTTCTTTGGCATTCAATTTTTATTATGCATTTTGTTTCATTTCCAATCAGTTTTCTCTCCTATTTATTGGGTATTCTTCATAGATCTCTAGCATATTTTGATTGCTGACGTGATGAAAATGCATATAAAATTGTGCCACATTTTATACTTTGTTTCGAGTAACAACATTTTTTTCTGACAATTTCTATACTCTAGGAAACAATTTTATTCCCATGTATATTTTCTGTATTGTTTAACCGAATTCTCCCTCTCTTTGTGGAGAATCTGGCTGATTTTACTGAAAATTCTACTCTGTGAGTAATTGTTGCATGTTTACATAAAGTAATTGTTCTGTTTGATTTTACCTTGCCCTTCATAGACAGAACTGTTCTCCTATTTATATATTTATACTAATGTTATGAAATATTTTCATATTTCTTTGTATACAGTGTAAAATGATGTAGTTAATAATAAACTTTATTAAAACTTATCAATCTATCGTTGTTCATGAATAAAAAAGAAAGAAGAAGGTATGGTTTGGGCTGTATTGTGCCTCAAAGAAGAAGTACGGTTTGGGCTGTATTGTGCCTTAAAAATTGTATGATCTAAAAATGATGAAATTGGCTTTATCACGAGTTCAGTTCAGTAGATAATAAATCATAAAAATTGGAGAAATTATGTAAAATGTTCTGAAAATTCACTTGTGGGTAATGCCTGCACTGTATGTTTTCTAATAAAAATCCACTGAAAATTGATTTCCTCTGCAATTTTAAAAAAAAGTATAGTCTGCCATGACATCACAATTAGCATTTAGGAGGTCATATTGGAAAAAAAGGACTTAATGGTATATGTTTTTACTGTAAGGAATTATAGTTTCTTACATTAATTCTAAATTTTAGAAAAATACAGGGCCAGATTTGAAACCCTACCTTGTTCTTTAGCGTGGATATTTTTTTACCGTAATTTTAGCTCCTTACCAAGGCAATCCTAATGATCAGCAAAAAATTGAACACCATTTCTTGATTTACAAAGGAGGTTCAGAACTAAAATTCTTCACAATGTAAACAAGGTTCTTGTCTTGTTTTTGTTTACATATAGAAAATATATTTATAAGAAAATGAGATCCAACAAATCACCAGAAACTGTTTCATCGTATTTAAAATTCATTTCTTTATTTTAAAAATCTGCTTTTAACGAACATATACATGTATTAGTATATCTAACCTGTGTATACAAAACATGGCACTTGCTCTGTTTAAATAACAAAGGGGCTCTTAATCTGTCTTGTATTTTTACATCTGAAATTCAAATTTTTGAATATCATTAGAAATACATTAGTTTAAAATTTATAAACATAAAAATGGGAAAATAAATTTGAAAAATTCTAGCTGAAAGAAGGATATGGAAATAACGAACAGTATACAATCTCAAAGTCCATAAAACTATACAAAATACAATGAAATAAGAGCAGAGTAAATACAGACCCCCCCCAAACCATCAGAGGTGGGATCAGGTGCCACGGAGGAGTGAGCATCCCCTGCCGACCGGTCACACCCGCAGTTTGCTCCTTGTCATGATCGGGAAATAACGGAAAAAATCCGTCGTCAATTCAGTGTATAAATAATGGACTAACAATTGGTATGAAAAACGTCAGTCAGCATTTGACTCAATGATAAACTGTATTTGCTGACAAGGTCATTGTATCAACCATAGAACTTACGAAATGATGACTTTAAACAATACAGCTGATATTCTTGTTTTGTCAACTTGCTTGTCAATAATTTACCTCGTTTTAGAAACATTCATCCGTAGAGCATGCTCTTGCGTATCGAATCAACTGAGATATATAAATACACATGTACTCCGTATGCAGGTGATGAAGATATATTGCTGCATACGTAAAGAAAGTTGGCGATAGAAAAGTTAAAGTCATCAAGTTTATCATATAGCTTGGTTGATAGATTACCATTAGTGTCTTTTTCAAGTAAAATATCCAAGTGAAACTGTTTCCATGACCCTTTATTCATGTTTTTTTTTCAGGCGGCTGGCCAATCTTTCATCTTGATTTTGTAAGCTGCTTGTTTTAACCATTTTAATGAACTAACAGTTCATGCAGCATTTCATCTGTAAAATGTAGGTCTTTAAGTATTTATGACATGTATTTTTTTTTTTGGTAGATTTATAAGATCTATTTCTGAGCATTATTTTCTCCTTTTACGATTTTCAACATTTTGACAACAGTAGGCTACTCATCAAACGTAATCTTTTATGTAATTTTTATGAATTAAAAAGGAATAGCTTTGATATAGCTTTTTCAACTCTTAATAGAACAGAAGGACATTTAGAACTGCAAAACATTACAGATTGCCCTACAATGGAATAACACACATTATCTCAGCACTATAATAAATATAGCAAATTTCAAATAGATATATGCATAAATAAACAAATTGTGATATATATGTTATGTATTGTATCGCCCTACGGCGCACGGATGATAACCTCAAAGTGTCTAAAACAGCGTCACTTTTCATCTTCTCTAAAAATAAAGTTGAATTGAGTCCCTCTTAAGAATTTCATTGTGCAAGTACTTGGGTCTCCATAAACAGTTGAGGAACTAATCTGACACACACATGATCTTCTCAAGATTTACTAGCAAGTTACAGACAAAATATCTCATTATCATTCAACTAAATAGACAATCTTAATCTACTGTCGACAGTAACAGCGTCTTTTGTATTATACTGCAATGTAGCAGTTTGTCCGTATGCGCGCATTGATGAAGTTTTCCGTCCAAATGTTTCTTTGATACATCGATCAAAGAAAAAAAATATTACATTCATTTCTTAAGTCAAAGTTTTTTGTAATTCCAACATTACCATACCTGTAAAAAGCCTTTTAGATGTATCACTTTCACAAAATCTAACAGGTGTATCAAACAATTATCTATTGAATTGTTTTTCTAAAACCTGATCAGTATGAATAAAATAAGTTATTTTTGTTTTAAAAAAAATCTTAAAGTTGAACATGGACATATCTTTCCAAAATCTTTAACACTATATATAATATACTGACTGACCTATAATTTCTGAATTCAAGGAAATTTCCTGTTTTGAAGAGAGGTATGACCCTTGCCATTTTTAAATTTTCTGATAAATTTATTTACAATAGGCATTAAAGGTTTAGAATCTTTGAGATAAAAAGCACTATCTTTAAAAACCTTGCTGGTATATAATCCAGATCAGTACTTTTATTTGCATTCAAACTTGTCGTTTCGTTTATTTGTATATAAAATCTTCAGACGCAGGTTGACGAACAAAAGTTCTGACTTCTCCTTTTTTTATTTGCATAAAACTGTCTAAAACCTTTGATATTATAGAAAGCATATGCGAAGGACTAGGTTACATGTTTACAAGTTTTAATGCAATAATGATAAAGAAACAGTTAAAATAATCTGCTATGGTTTTACCTTCATCGTACCATCTATGTTAAAAACAATATTTTCACTACTTTTTTGTTTATTTTAGTATTCTATGTTCTTGAGTTGTTGCCAAAACTTCTTGGGTTTTAACCTAT